TGGGGAGAGAGAGAAAGTTAGTGTCGGCGTGGACAGCCAGGCCTGCGGAGAGGTGCTCCCAGCTTCTCAGCTGGCCGGAGCGCTTGGGGTAGCTCATGCTTTGCTGGGGAGCCTGTTCCAGCAGGGCAGGACGTTAGCAGAGTCCACCCCATGCCAGGGGCATCCCCAGCCCCCAGGAATGGCCACTGCTGATGCCTCAGGCTTTCCAGGTGGGCACGGGTGCCCTGGTTGAGAACCACTGGCTTACCCCTCGCGGTCCTGTTCCCAGATGCCCCTTTCTTTCCTTTATCTATGTATACACACACACACACACACACACACACACACACACACACACACACACACACACCCTGCACGGTCAGAGCCAGAAGAGGAGGGTCTTGCCACTCTCTATGGCTACAGTGCGGCTAGGCTGGGCACACTCTCCTGAGTCACCCACCTGTGGAGATGGTGAGGGCGCTGACCTGGGGGGTCAGCAGAGTGGCAGGGCTCTCAAGGCAGCACACCCAGCGAGATGGCTGTGGGACTGGGCTGGGCCTCCCTCCTGCTCCCCTCTGCAGGATGAGAGCCCTAGAAGCTCCCCAGAGCTCCCCAGCTGAGTGCCCTGCTGCGGCACAGGTCTGTCTGCAGAGCAACCCTGGGGGCTGCGTGTGTGTGGGATGTGTGCGTGTGGGCATGTGTATGGTACTGAGGACTGGACACAAGGCTCTCGAAATGAGCTAAAGCCCTTGGCCTTTTGTTACTTTTTATTCAGAGATAAAGTCTCTCTAAGTTGCTAAATTACCCAGGCTGGGCTTGAACTTACAACCCTCTCAGAGTGCTAGGATGATGGGCGCCTGTACCCCGCTGTGTGCTTCTGAGCACTGAGTACCGGCTGTGGTTTGTAGGTTCCCACGAGGGGGGACAGTTGGGGACACAAATAAGAATAAAAGTGATATGTGCTGGGGTACCCTGGAGAGTCGCAGAGACGTGTGGGAGGGCGAGGTGTGCAGCGTTCTTTCTGTTCTTTGCCCCCTTTCTCTGTGTGCTAGGGGGACAGTGGTCAACCAGATAGCTGGCAAGGGCGTGGGGAAAGGTGATGCGGTGCTGCACTCCCTAACCTCAATTAGCACAGCGCCCCCTACCCCAGCGGATGCCCCTCTGCCTGCAGGGTAGTGATCCAGAGGAGCAGGCAGCTTGGCCCACACGGATTTGGTGGATCCTGGAAAAGGCTAACAGAGCCGTCACTCTGGGAGGCTGAGGCAGAAGGACTGCAACTTTGAGCCCAGGCTCAGGGGTACCCACTGTCTCAAGATAAAGATAAAAAAGAGGTGGGGGTGTGGTGACAGCCTTGGGTTCACCCCCCCCCCACATCACAATGAGTGGAGAAGGAAGGGGGGGAGGGACAAAACCAAGCTCCTATGTTGTGGGCGGGCCTGGCCTGCCCCTTGGAACAGCTCTGGTCTCTGGGCGGGTGACTCTGCTGCCAGTTCTGTCACCCGCTGCCTTCGCCCACCCAAGACCCATGGAGGCAGACGGTTGTCACCCAGCACATGCCCAGGGACGCTGATCCCACGCATGTCGAGCAAGCATGAGGCAGGTGTGCACACGCTTGCGCATCCACTCTGAGTGAGGGTCCTGGGGTCCCAGGAGGCCCAGGCACCTGTCTGAGCCCTTCAGGGTCTGGGCTATGGGGCTGGGTTTTGGACCCGGTCTCCAGGCGCCGAGCTTGGTGCAGCATGGATGGCTTTATGTCACCTACAAGGATGTGGGTTGGCCCATGCAGGGACACGCCCCTCCTGGGGGTGTACATGTGTGAAGCCATGTGGACTCTCACTGATTGAGGGCTGCAACTGTCTAATCCCAGCACTCTCTGGGAGGCTGAGACAGGAGGATCACAAATTTGAGTTCTGGCTGGAGGCTGCTAAGTATAATGGGGCAGGCTTTGCACTGCACAAGGAAGTCAAGCTGAGAGGCTGAGCTCTAGCTGGGCTCTTCTCCCCAGGCAGATGCCAGAGGGGCTGCAGTCCCCTCCTCCAAGAGAGGGGTTTGCTCAGACTCACGGTGCCACCTTCCTGTGGCTCCTGCAGTGTAGACTTCGTGGCACTCATGCCCCTTCTGTGGCAGGGCTCTGGCCACACTCAGGGACACACAGTCTCCCTCTGCTAACAAACATGCACACACATGCACACGTGCACATACACAGGCAGCCTTTCTGCACCCCCTCACACACAGCCCCTCCAGGTGGGGGACGGCGATGCGTCCAGACACGAGTGACAGGGGGAAAAGTTCTTCCCCTGCCTGAGAGACTGCACTGCCCCACGCCCAGTGCACCTGCACACAGCTGCATGGAGCGTGGGCCACCAAGGTGGTGCCCAGACACGAAGGAACCCATGTCCTGTGTTTGGCCCCTCCCACACGTGGACACAGCTCTGCCGAAAGCCATGTGCTCCACACACCCCCAACCCAGAGCACAGAACTCGGCCAGGCTCTCACACAGGCTCTGTCCCCTCCCCAGCCTGGCCTTCCAGCCAGCAGGACTTGACACGCAGGGACGTAGGTCAGGGGCCAGACCAGCTGCAGGTGGGACAGGGCTGGTGTGGCCGGGTGGCCAGGGAAGGTTATGGTGAGGCCCTTGAGAAGAGCAGGGGTGAGCTGTAGGGTCGGGGACACTGGAGGGGAACTGGGGACAGAATGGGAGATGGAGAGACAGAGGTGGTCCAGGACAGATGGACTGAGCAGTGGACAGAACGGAGAGCGGGGACTGTGGGGCAGGGAGTTGCATACCTAGAATGGGGTTTGGCGGCCCCAGCAGCGGAGGGGGCAGCAGGGGACCAGAAAGGGGAGGAGCTTCTGCTGTGGCCGCAGAGAGGCCCAGGGTGGCTGTGATGAGGGGGCGGGGTCCCAGGGACCTGGTGGCCAGGCTGGGCTGGGGATTCGGGGAGCAGGAAGGAGACAGGCAGGG